AGCCTCTGGTATTTTTGGTATAGTAACAGAAAACATGAATATAGTCAGTGATATTGAATACTTTTGCATATTTCCATTGGCCATTGTCTGGGGAAATGTCTGTTCAGGTTTTTTGCCTCTTTCAACTTTGTTGTTGTTGTTTTGAGATAGGGTCTTACTATGTAACCCCAAGCAGCCTAGAATTTGCTAAATAGACAGGGCTGGCCTTAAATTGATCCACCTGCCTCTGCCTTCTGAGTGCTAGGATTATTTTAAATTAGGACATTTACCTTCTTCATCTTGAACTATTTTCGTCTCACATAGTTTGGATATTTACTACTTACCAGATAGGTGATTTTCAAATACTTTGTTTTGTTTCATATGGATATTAGGTTGTGTCTTCAATTTCTGCAAAAAATAATATTAGAGTTTTTTTGAAGAGCTCAGTGAATCAACAGATTGTCTCGGGTTCTATGGACATGTCAACAATATTAAAACTCTTCCTCCGATCCATGAAGACAGGGCAGCTTTCCAGTTTTCTGTGTCTTTATCTACTTTCATCCTGTAGGACTTGGCAAAATTCCTTCCTAATTATTTAACTTTTTGTTTTATCTCTATTGTAAATGGGAATTGCTTTCCTCTTTTTTTCAGATGGTTTACCACTGTATAGCAATACTACAGATTTTCACATGTTGATTTTATATTCAGTAACTCTACTCAATCCAATTATAAGTTCTTCTAGATTTTATTTGTGTGTGTGTATGTGCATGTGTTAATAATATGTCTTTGTATATGTGTTGTGTGAATGTGTGTGCCTCTCTGTGCATTTGTGGGTATACGCCTGTGCATTTGTATCTCTCTCTGTGTGGATGTGCATGGCACATTTTTAGAGTTGTGTCTTTAAAAGATTGTGGATTTTAATTTATATTTTCCCATTTAACTTATTTCCAAGTATATGGCCTTTTCTTCCTATTATCTAACTCCTCTGGCTGGGACTTCAGCTACTGTATAGAACAGAAGTGGCAACATTAGGCATTCCTGTGTCCCTGACCTTAAGACAAAAATCCTTCAGCTTTTTACTGGGGTGTATGTTAGCTGAGGATTTCTATATATGGCCTTTATTCAGGCCTACTTTTTGTCTGGATACTTCTATCCCTACTTGAAGGAGAACAGAGGTCTTGTTATAGTGATGTGCTTTTTAGTTTCCATTAAACAAAATTTTGAGACACGGACTAGCCTCAGCGGGACTAGCTGCTGTAGCTGTCACTAAGAAACTAGCCAAGTGGAGAAGTCTGAGCTTCTGTGGCCCCTCACAGTCAGCAATTTACCACCAACTTGAAGTGGTAAAGTTTTGCAGAGTTTTGTGGGGGTTTTGGAAATGCGTTTTCCTGCTAATTAAGAAGTAGTACAAAATTATATATAATGTGGCAAGTCCCAAAAGAGACAAAGAATAAAAGAAATATTGTCCTTAATTCTGCCTCTTGTTATTTAATTCAGCTACTATTTTGATGTGCATTGCTCTAGTTACACACAGTATTTTTACTCAGGAGCTGTGAGGAAAGCTACCCCTATGCTCTGCTCACAGGCATATAGGACTTGAATCTACAAACTTTGACTAAGAATTCTTTTTCTTTAAATAATTTTATCTTGAGGGACTGGAGAGATGCCTCAATGGTTAAGAGGACTGGCTGCTCTTCCGGATTTGGGTTCAAGTCTCGGCACCTACATGGCAGCTCACAACCATCTATAACTTCAGTTCCAGGGGATCAGGAACCCTCTCCTAGGCTCCATAGGCACTAGGAACAAACACATGTGGCATGCAGACATGCATGCAAACAACATACTCATACACATAAAAATCTTTAAGAATTATTTTAAAACGCTAGTCCACTCTGTAGACATTGCCTGAGGTTCTCCCATCAAGTTTTTGGACTATTTTTAGACCTCTGTATAAACCTTTTTAGACTTATTATTTATTTTGGACTTACAATCTTCCTGCCTCAATTAAGGCAATAATGATAACCCCCTGCACACATGCCCACAGGTCAACCTGATATAGACACACCCTCATTGAGACTCACTTTCCAGGTGATTCTAGATTGTGAAAAATGGCAACAAAAACTAACCACCGTGGGCCCAGCGAGATGGCTCAGTGGATAAAGGTGCTTGCCACCAAGCCTGTAATCTGAGTTTGATCCCTAGGACCCACATGGTAGAAGCAGAGAAATGAATCCCCCAGTTGGAGTCGTCCTCTGATTTTCACACATGCACTATGGCAGGAGTATGCGAGCACACACACACACACACACACACACACACACACACACACACACACACACACACCACTGAAAAATACCAACCAAACAAATCCTGAAACCTAACCATCATAGGCTCCATACAATTAACTCCACAAACTGCAGACTTGGGTAGCTTCCCAGGTGAGGCACAAGTTGAAAATGCTCCCCTTGGCAATGAGTCTCTTATAGCCGAAAAGCCTACAGGTGCCTTAAATCCAGCTTTGACCTTTGTCTCCTGTCCCTCCACTCTAAGCCACCGTATCTTTCTGTCTGACAATAGCCACCCTGGCCCCACCTGTCTCGTCTTGTCCTCTATGTAATACCCACCCTATTTCCCGATTCTGAACTCTGTTCCTCGCTTTCTCATACCCCACACTACTTCTTGTTTTCTGCCTCATAGAGACTTGATAGCTGAGCTCCTTTATCACTGGAACTAGGTCCCATAGCGTATGTTGACTTGTTATAGAAACAATGGATCACAATCAAACACCACATACCCAGCAAATATTTTTTGAATGAATGAATTTTAAATATTCTCTTGCTTGCATTGAAATCTGTTTTGGATTTGAGATATAGTAACACAAACCCCATACTTCACTTGTCTTTCTTTTTCCTATTTGGATTTTATATCAGATACTATACTGTAATTTTGTATATGACACTTCTAATCTTCACAATGATCTCTCAAAGCATTGTTGTCTCCTTTGTTTTGCATAGAGGGAGCTGAGGGTCCTCGGGTTCATTACTTCCTCTAAAGTCAATGACTGCCCTCCCTTCTTGGTAGGCTCACTCCCAGAAGCACCAACTCCTGGCCTCATTCTGAAGTTCCTAGATGTGTTTTCTGACCTTCCTATGACTCTGATCCTATCCTGATCAGTCACCTCATCCCTGTCTGGTACAGAGCAATGAGGGAAGAGCAAGCTGAGAGGTTTGATAAGGTCTTTGCATGAGAGGTTGAAGCCAATTAAAAGAGATGGAAAAGCCAACAGTATTTCCACATTTGAGATGGGTAGTAGAGACGTCTCACTCCTAGAAATTAGGCTGGTATCCCTGTGAGTATTCACCAGTTGAATGCAGGTGTCTCTTAGCTTCTCTGAATCTCAGTTTCCCCGTCTTTTCTTTTATGAGCATACACAAAATCTCACTTTTTGAGACACTGTCTCATAATGTAGCTCAGGCTGACCCTAAATTTGAGTAGTCCTCATGATTCAGCCTCTGAGTGCTAAACTACGGACAGGAGCCGGCACAGCTGACTTGTGAGTGTAGGCTTATCTGGCTCTCGTGCTGCAATGCATGTGCTTTGTAAGAAGTGGCCATAGCCGTGCTAGCATTGTCGGCATGATCAAATGCCTCATTTCAGGAGTCAGATTATACATGAAAGTGCTGAAATCTTGAGTAGAGTACTCAAGGAGCCCCACGTTACGGCTTCTGACCAACTCTGGCTGGCCTCCTGTTTTTATATAACTTGTGAGTGAACAATTTTTTATATTTTAATTTGATTCTAAAAGAAAATCACTATGACATATAAATATTACATAAAATTCAAATCTCGGCGTCTGCAAATACAGCTCATTAGAACATAGCTGAGCACATTTGCTGGCAGACCATCCACGGCTGCTTTTGCACTGCAGCGGCAGAACTGGCTCGTTATGGAAGACTGTATCCAAACTGAGTTCAGACCTTTACTCTCAGGCTTTATAAGGAAAAGCGGCAGCTCAGGGTCCTTCCTTTCAGCTTGTTGAAGCTTCCAGAAAGGAAAGTAAGTGTAAAGAAACCCCATTTTTGTCTTTGCTGAATTCTTTTGCTTGACAATGAAGATGAAGGGAAGATACACTGTCTTCCCACTAAGTCACATGCAGGCTGCAGCACCAATCTAACATTAAAAGTCAGTGAGGGGTGGAATGCCCACCTCCAACTTCAAGTCACCTTTCACACTTTGAATGATACCTTTCTCTTTTCCTATTAAAACTCAAAACCGTTCTTATCAGGATCTACAGGAAATTACTTAGTTGGTCTAGCCCCTTCACTCGTGTTACTGTTGTTATTAACAGTGGCTGTTGTAGAGTCGTGAGTTCTTGACCCCCTTCTCTCTTCTTCCAATATGGTTGCGATGCTTCTCTTCGGAGCCAGAGCTGGGCTGCCTTGGTGGACCATTGCCCACTCCTTCCCTGTTCTCCACTATCTGATGTGCTTCAGTGAAGCATTCTCTTCGATCCTAAGAACTGAGACAGACAAGGCATCAGGTTAAAGAAAAACCATCACAGGAACAAAGTGAACACAGCACCTAGAGGGTGGTTCCCTGTCCCTTCTCTCTCAGGCCTTCTCCTACTGCACTGAATAGTAGATAGAACTCGGCTAGCATACAAACTATTCCCTATTCATCTAATAATGACATGGGAGTGTTTTGGCTCTCGGTTGCTCTTCTAAATAAGGGGCTTGGTGGCACATACCTTTAATCCCAGCATTCTGAAGCAGAGACTGGCAAATCTCTTGAGTTCAAGGTCAGCCTGGTCTACATAGAGAGTTTCAGAGCAACAAGAGCTATGTAGAAAGACTCAGTCTAAAAAAAAAAAAATCATTGCTGTCATTTTGTTAATATTGTTGATATTTTTAGTCTATTCCATGCAAAAAACCTTTCAGTGTATCAAGTTAACAAACTAATGCAATACTGTGAAATGTAAGTGGGAGATGGCTATTTATATCTGATTCTCTTGTTTTTCCTAGTGAGAAGCTGGATGGAAAAGCTGAAAGACAAGGTAAGGAGAGTCTCTTCTTCCCTTTGACTTATACTGAAGGGCAAATAAAAGATTTGCAGAACAGCAAAGCTACCACAGGTTGTCGTTCAGGAATTTATATGTTTACATACAAACACATATGCCCATGTAATAAGAGGCCATAACTTTGAAGTATAGCTGGGAGGGGCATAAGAGGGTGTGGAGGGAGGAAAGGAAAGGAACAAATGTTATAATTAAATTGCAATTTAAAAAAAAAAACAACCCACCACCACCAATAACAACGGAGCTTCAGTTTGCTGTTCTGGGCCATCAGCAGGAGAGGTATTTCCTTCAGATTCCTTCACTGGGAACACAGGAGACAGGCACCTTATTCTCTGGAGCCTCAGCACCTCTCCCCACCTCCTCTGTCTCTGTCTCTCTGTCTCTCTCTGTCTCTCTGTCTCTGTGTCTCTCTCTGTCTCTCTGTCTCTCTCTGTCTCTCTGTCTCTCTCTCTCTCTGTGTGCAGGTGGTATATGCTCATATGTGTGTGCAGATATGCAAGTATGGAGGCCAACAGATTGAGTCAGATGCCCTCCTCTGTCACTCCCTACCTTATTCATTTGAGGCAGGATCTCTGACTGGACCCAGAGCTGGTGGCTTTGGGATGCACTAGCAGCCAGCAAGCCCCAGAAATTCTCATATCTCCACCCCTTATAGGACTGGGGTTGCAGGCGTGAGAGAGATCTGTCATCTAATTGCAGTGTGGACTCTGGGATCTGAACTCAGATCCTGTACTTGCAGAGCAAGCACTCTCAAAACATTTTTTTTAGGTCTGTTCCTTTTATTCTATGTGTCTGAACATTTTGCTGCCTGAATGTATGTGAACTGAAGTCACAGACAGTTATGAGTCACCATGTGGGTACTGGGAATGGAACCCGGGTTCTCTGCCAGAGCAGTCAAGGCTCTCAATCACCGAGCCTTCTCTCCAACCCAAAGAGCAAGCCCCCTTAGGCACTGAGCCACCCCATGGCTGTTACAAAAGTATAAACATTTACCGTGAGTGGTACGCCCAGCTGAATAATATCCTTGATCTACCTGGTAGAGTTTCTTTTAGGGGATATTGGCAGTGTGGTTCAGTTCTGTCTGCGAAACAGGAAACTGCCGTAGGTGTGTAGCTTATTGCGATGCTGCTTCCCAGGAGGCACTAGCAAGCCACCCTGCCGAGATGACCAGCTATGGAAAAGTATTTCCCTCTCCTGCATACATTTGGCACACTGATTGACAATATTAATTCCTTTCCAGGTTCATATTTTCATTTTCTTTTGACTTTGAATCCTCTCCAAGTTTCCACGTTTGGTAACTTTGTAATTTTAACTGGAACTGCTCCTCAAAATTTTGATGGAATTCTGAATTCCTTGGTTGTAGTCTATGTCAGAGTCCATTAGCATACCTCAGCTCAGGTTTAATTGGGATTTCAGTTGCTTGAAAACCTTTTTAATGGTCAGGCATTTAGTTGCCTTCAGTTCCCCAGCCTCAAAACATCTCGGCTTATGGATTTCCATATATTTTGTTTTATTATTTGAGCCAGTTTTCCTATATTGGAATTACAGGTTTTTAATTTTGCTACAACTTATTGTTAAAGAATAGGACATCCAATTGCAATTAAAATTATGTGATTACAGTAGTTCTCTCTACCCTTTTGCTTCTCAGTAAAAAATTCTATTTTTTTTTTTAGAACAAGGTTAATTTGTTTTTATACATGTTAAACATGATAAAGGAAATATTCAGGCTGTTGAGGTCAGTGTGTGCCATCTTTTGGTACTTGTTATGGATCTAGTTAAGTCAAAGGATATGTTCAGATGGACAGAGAAAGATTTAGAAGAATATCCTGAGAAAGATTTCTAAAATATATTACAAAAATGATTAAAATAGGCTTAAAGTTTGGCATAAAGCTGCGTTGAGGTTAGATATTGCAAACTTTATAATCTGCATGTAAATATCAATTCTTACTAGTTACCCTTTTCAGAAACAATTTGGGAGCCTAGCTACTGCCTCTGATGAAAGTCACAGAATCCCTTAGACTGAAAACTGAACTGAACACATATTCAACTGAGCTTTTAAACCCAACCAGGACTCCCTCCCAATCTAGTTTCATGAATTGTTCCAATGTTGGTTCTCTGTTAACTACAGGAGCTTTAAAAATGAAGGTGTTTTCAAAAGTTCTAATTTGGTTTTTGTTGTTGTTGATTTTTCAAGTTTTCAATGTTAATATTAAGGTTAATCATGAGTAACAAGAAGCTCCTGCCCATCACACCTGCAGTCAAAGGCTCATGGGTAATGACACAGAAACAGGCTAAATGGCTTCAGTTTGATGATACACCACTTTTGAAGTTCATTTCCGATGATAACTTCTGATTCTGGATGGCATGTCCAACTCAGCTATCTCCATATGAATCTGCATGTGTCATGGTGTCTTAGTCAGGGTTACTATTGTTGTGATGAAACACCATGACCAAAAAAAAAAAAAAAAAACAAAAAACAGAAAAAAACAAAACGACTTGAGGGCCTTACACTACCACATCACATTTCATATCAGAGGAAGTCAGGACAGGAATTCAAGCAGGGCAGGAACCTGGAGGCAGGAGCTGATGCAGAGGCTGTGGAGAGGTGCTGCTTACTGACTTGCTCAGTCTACTTTCTTATAGAACCCAGGGCCCCCAGCCCAGGGGTAGCCACATTCACAATGGCCTGGGCCCTCTCACATCAATCACTAATTAAGAAAATGCCCTACAAAAAAATCTTATGGAGGTATTTTCTTAGTTGAGGTCCTCTCCTCTCAGATATACTTTGTGTGAAGTTGACATAAAACTAGCCAGAACACATGGATATGTAAATTAATCCCTCAATAATACTCAGCTTCCTGGAAGCTCAGGAAGGGGAAGTAATCTTAATTCTGCCCCCCATCCGAGATTAGAAATTGTTTAGCCAGCAGGACGGTGGTGGCACACACCTTTAATCCCAGCACGGGAGGCAGAGGCAGATGGATCAATGAGTTCAAAGCCAGCTTGGTCTACAGAGAGAGTTCCAGGACAGCAAGGGCTACACAGAGAAATTGATTAGCTCCTACAAAAGGAAAATGGATGTTAATAGACAATTAGTTCTCGTCCCTTAACTTTCCTGATTGTTGTACATGTTGATGGTGTTTGTTAGACCAGGCTTATCTTGGTACCTATTGATATGTCTTTTCAACATCAGAATTGTTTCTCAGAAATAAACATGTTTGACTAGATTATATAATAATAAAGCTTCATTATAGTATAATATAATAAAGACAGTGCTGCTCTTAGGTCACCAAAGCCAATCTGGTTCTTCTAGCTTTAAGGAAGAAAAAAGTGATCCAGGTTGTATTTCATAGCAGAGATTTTCAAGGTGGATTCTGGTCCAGAATCTTCAGAAGCCCTGGGAGCTTGTTAGAAATGCAGATTCTCAGATCTCACTCTAGACCTGAGTTAGGACCTCTGATGACGTGGCCCAATAGTCTGCGTTCCCAAGCCTGACAAGTCAATCTGAAATGTGCTCCAGTTGGAGAGGTACTGCTGCATAGAAAACACAAGGCCCAGTCTCAGAGCAGCAGATCAGAGGCAGGGCAATGCAGTACGTGTGTGTGTGTGTGTGTGTGTGTGTGTGTGTGTGTGTGTGTGTGTGTGTGTGTGTGTTTGAGACAGGGTCTTTTGTAGGCCTGGCTGACCTCTAACTCACTATGTAGTTTAGGATGGCTTTGAATTTCTGATCTTCCTGCCTCCACTTTTCAAATGCTGTGATTACAGGTGTGTGCCATTATGCTTGGGTTAACATGGAGCTGGCAATTGAACCTAAGGGCTTGTGCATGCTAGGCAAGTACACTACCAAGTGAATTACATCCTCAGTGCCTTTCATGAGCTTTTCTTATAGCTTTCTTCAAAAGAGATGTTTCTGAACAAATTAATTTCAAAACCAAACACATAAATTCAGGTATGTCTAGCCAGATTTTCATTTACAATGTATTTTAAATGATTAACCTTTAGGCAGGAATAATTTACCTTTTATAGGCAAGATATAAAAATAAGAATAGCAACAAGAATCCCCCTACCACCTTTAGCCTGGATGGACCAACTGCTAACATTTTACTACCTTGGATTTTTACTTATGGGCACATTCTCTTCCTTATTATTTTTTTTTCTTTTTTTTTTTTCTGGTTTTTTGAGACAGGGTTTCTCTGTGTAGCTTTGCGCCTTTCCTGGAACTCGCTTTGGAGACCAGGCTGGCCTCGAACTCACAGAGATCCACCTGGCTCTGCCTCCCGAGTGCTGGGATTAAAGGCGTGCGCCACCACCGCCCGGCTCTCTTCCTTATTTTTACCTGAACCATCTGATGATAAATTGCATAGACTATGGCCTATTTATTCCTAATTCTTCAGTGCATATTTTCTAAGAATGAGAACATTCTGTTATCAAATCTTACTGCAGTTTTTAGCTTGAGCCCATTTAACATAGCTACAGCACATTTATGTTCTCTGGTATCTGCAGTGCAACTTTTCAACAGACCAAAAATGACACTTACAAAAATATTATTTCTCCTTTAGTATAAAATCCCATCAACAATTATGTAACATACCCCTTTATCATACTTCTTCCATGTCCTTTCCTCATTTTACAGCTATCTTTTTTTTCACAATACACATATCTTTGAAGAATATAGTTTTTATATAAAAAATAGAATATCCATCATTTTAGGCTTGCTGGCTATTTTATCATGATTAGACTTACTCTGTGCAGTCTTGGTTGGAAAAGCACATGGGTAAACTGTGTCTTCTGGATGCCATTTCTGGAAGCATATGCACAGCCAATGATTTTGAACAGAAAAAGCTACTAGACAGAATTAAAAACTTAAAAAATAAGTGCATGCCCTCTTATTTTATTTCAGAAAAAATTAAGTAATAGGCAGTGTTGCGTAAGACCTTATTTTACCTTAGTCAACTTTAAAGAACATGTAGTGACATAGTGTTGTAAGGTGGGCTGATGGCTTCAGCCCCATCCTATAATGTATTTGTGACTTGACAGCAAAGCAAATACCATTAAAAATGAAAGATATAGCTGAATGTGTGTGTGTGTGAAATATGACAAGAGTGACATATTTTGGAATACCCACATTATTGGTATGGAGTTAAACTATAGATCTGCAGGAGGCTCAGGCAGTGGTTGTCAGGTTGATATTCCAAGGAACAGAATATTGTCCTCTGAATGTACAACCTAGAAAAAGTTCATTAATGGAGATGAAATTTGATCATTCTTCATATTTAATATGTGTTACATTTCAATGCACTGAAAATATTGATTTTTTTATTAAGAAATTTTTATTCATTTTACATACCAATCACAGATTCCCCTCTTCCCTCCTCCCACCCCTCCAGCCTCCCCCCTCAACTCACCCCCATTCCTTCTACAAGAAGGTAAGGCCTCCTGTGGGGAGTCAGCAGAACCTGCTATATTCAGTAGAGACAGGCCGAAGCACCTCCCCCTGCCTCAAGGCTGTGTAAGGTGTCCCACCATAGGCAGTGGGCTCTAAAAAGCCAGCTCATGCACCAGGGATAAATCCCAATTCCACTGCCAAGGGAACCCTCAAGCAGATCAAGCTACACAACTCTTGCTTATGCAGAGGGCCTAGTCCAGTCCCATGCAGGCTCCACAGCTGTTGGTCTAAATTTCATGAGTTCCCACTAGTTTGGTCTGGTTGTCTCTGTAGGTTTCCCCATCATGATCGTGATGCCCTTGCTCATCGAACCCCTCTTCTCTCTCTTTGACTGGACTCCTGGAGCTGATTTTTTTAAATTCTGTATTTTTGATGAGAGCACCACAAGTTTTGTATTGTCCAATATTTCCCTATGTGGAAAATTATAGAGTTTTTATAAGACTCAAGTGGATCTTCAAGAATTTTAGAAAAACTTTGATTTTCTACAAAGTGTATGAATTTGCTGAAGAATGACTGGAATTTGTTTCTCCATGGAAAACACTACACTGATTTAAAAGAATCCCATTGTTCTTAAGTTAATGAAAAAAAAAATCCATATTTTATCCCAATTTAAAACTCTGGGATACAAGACCAGTGAGGAAGCTGCTGAGCACAGGCAAGGGTGTTCTGCTCTGTGAGGGGGCCTCTGCTCCTCCATGTGTAAGTTTAGAGAGAAAATCACAGCCTACAGACCTCAGTGCTTTCTGAAAATCTTTCTCCCACTCACTTGCTTTCTCTCTCTCTCTCTCTCTCTCTCTCTCTCTCTCTCTCTCTCTCTCTCTCTGTGTGTGTGTTTGTCTGTGTCTATCTATCTATCTATCTATCTATCTATCTATCTATCTATCTATCTATCTATCTATTTATCTATCTATCTATCTCATTTTGGATCACTCTGAAAGGCACTAGAAATAGTTTTTGTTGATTAGAAATTAAATAGGAGCTAGGAAGATGGCTCAGTGGTTTAAGAGCATTTGCTGCTCTTGCTGAGGACCAGATTCTGTTCCCATAACCTATGTGGTGGCTCACAACCATCTGTAACTCTAGTGCGAGGTGAGCTGGATGTCTTCTGCCCTTACCTGGCAACACACATACACTCAGGCACACATATACACATCACACACAGACATAAATTAAATAAACAAAAAGAGGAGAAATGGTTGAAGGGTCATCCTCTCTCAGAAAAACACCTATCCACTTATTCTAGATTTTAAAAGTTATAACTGTAATGTGTGTTTTCCACTTGGGGTGTAGCCTTACGCTCTCCCGTGAAAATGCTCTAGGTTAGTGCATACCCATGCAGCCCACAGGGGTTTTGCTGCAAAGATCTACCTAAGGACCAGGGCCTTGCTCCAAGAGTGAGCAGGTCCTGAGAGTTTCACTGAAGCACTGGGATGTGCAGGGATCACGTTGTTCTCTGAGGACTGAGGAGTCCATAGTTACCTTGGGTATACTGGGAACACCCGAGGCTCCTTGGAGAGTAGCCAGGTTGCTGGCAGTGCTCTTTGTGCCCTTTTTGGCCACTGCTTCCCTGGGACTGAAGACACTCTATTTCAGTTTTGTTCACTGGGCACACTGCTTCCCTCGGAGATCCATTCTGCATACACTCATCTTCTTGTCCTTGTCTCCCAGCAATTAGCCCACCTCTTAATTCCTGGGCCTGCCCCTTCCTTGCTGTTTATGGTGCTCTCACCTTCTACTCATAATGCACTTTTATCATTCCTTTTTTACTGTAATACAGCTGGGAAGAGTGGGAGCCGGAGGAAGGAAGGGAGGGCAAGAAAGTGAGCAGCCCTCCTTTACCCTCCAAGGAACACAGTATTCCAGAGGACACTTCAACTCCTTGGCATGCGACTCAGGCTGTTTCCAATTTATTGCATTTTAATAGCCCTGGCATTCTCAGAAGCCCACTCCATCCATCTTTAGTACAAATTATATTTCTGTCATCAAAAATTGATGTTGACAAATGTGCATAATCAAGTGGCTGGAGGGGCCACTAGGTCTGGCTGATTTATTTCAGAACTTACTTCTAAGGAATTTGAAATAATAAAAAAAAAAAGGTTGTTATTTTTCTCTGTTGCTCTTCCCCCAAAGCCCCAAAGCAGAACCTTTGTTACAGGTTCCCTTTTAAATTATAACATAGCAGACAGAAGAATTCAAAGCATCTAAAAACCTGCTGCCACTTATCAGGGACAAGGAACCTGGAATCCAATGGTCTATGTAGCATTCTGATACCTGTCTCTCTCCTTCTCTGTTCAGGCTGGCTACATGTCTGGAATGCTGGTGCCTGTTGGGGTAGGGATCGCTGGAGCCTTGTTCATCTTGGGAGCACTCTACAGCATTAAGGTTATGAATCGCCGAAGAAGAAACGGCTTCAAACGGCATAAAAGGAAGGTATGCAGGAAACAAGAGCAAACCCAATGGGATGCAGAGAATTCTTCACTGCCTGCCTAATTTGCCTGATAAAATACGGAGGATTTAATGGTGCAAGAAGACTTCTGCTCAGGGTGTTTTGTGCTAGCTACTCCCCTGTTCTTTAGGGTGGGTCTGCTTCTGGGCTTTGAGGAGAAAGAATTTAATGCTTTTCTCTTTTCTTTCCCCAGCAGAGAGAATTCAACAGCATGCAAGATAGAGTGATGCTGTTAGCGGACAGCTCTGAAGATGAATTCTGAATTGGACTTGGGGTTCATTCAATGAGATAATTGTTTTATTTTTTATTTGGGGGCAAGAAGACGAAAGAAAATACATGAATAAAAACCAACAATATCTCACCACCTTGCTGCTGCTGGGCCTTTGCTCCAGCCCTCGTCGCTGCTGGAGAGTAGATTTTTCTTGTGATAAGCAGAAAAGACACCCTGTACTCTAAATGCAGCATTCAGTGTTCGGTTATTCTGTAGTGTGTTTGCCATCACCAGGGGCTGTAATTTAGAGACATATAGCACACGTGCTCAGTAGGAGTAGCTGGGTTGGGTAGAGCCAATATCTTGTATTTTTCCATTGCCTTTTCCTTGGTTTGGATTACTGGCCTGCAGTGAATGGTGGTGCCATAAGAGCATCTTTAATTTTAATAGACAATTTCCAAGGAAGAGAAACTCCTTATAATCCTTCTCTGATTTTTTGAAATTGTTGACTTGTAGATATCAGTGCATCCTATGTCTGCATCAAGGACTAGTTACCACCTGGAATGAAATTTTTTTCCTGAGATATTGCAGCTTATTAGGGTTATGTGCAGGTTTGCATAATGTTACATTAAACCTTCCAGTCTCTTTGTTTTTTATTATTTTTATCTCTCTCTTAGTCTCACTATTAGTAAGAAAAACATGCACTAGAAATTATATGTTAAATGAACCCTTAACCTTAATTTATACTTGCTTTCTTAAAAGTGTTAGTTAGTCCAATGGGTATGATGAAAGATTCTTATTTGTTTATCATTACAAAATATTCTTTTGGTATATTGCTGAAATTAGTCAAGAAGCAAAAAGGATGACGAGGGTGTGTAGGCTCCCAGGGTGTTTGCCCCTGACATTTGGTTTTGTGTTTGTGTGGCCAGTACCGTGGATAAGTCAAAGTGTCACTTTTCCATGTCTAGGATCTTGCTATGGGAGGAGTGAGCCACCAGGGGTCTTTTCTTGGCTGCCTTTATTACAAAAGGCAGGCATTCTTAGGTAGAAGGTGGCCCAGTGGCCAGAGTCCTCATGTACAAATGAGCTCAAGCCATCCCTCACGTGGGATGATGGCCTGTTAAATCCTCTCTCGTTTTTCTTGGAATGCAATTCCTTCTTCTATACCAAATAACACATTCAAACACCCTGTTTGAATCTGGGTATTTGGGAATTGTAGCTCACTGTATTTAGCAGTGTGGCTTGGATCAGTTCCAAGGATAGATAAAGGTTACCAATAATGCTGTTACCATGGAGAATTTGTTCATAGATGTTAGAGCCTATTCTACTCTGACAGGGTCTATTTAATTACTCCTCATAGCTTCTGGGTGAGGAAGAGCATTTATTTTTTTTTTTTCCATTCCACTGAAGATGGAGCGAAAGTGGAGGAGAGAAAGAGTCAATCATCACTTACATCTATGGACTCAGCATGAAGACCACCTTAGACCAAACTCTGTACTGCATCTTCAGTTCGGTGCCCTTTCTGTGCTTTGGGAAGTATTATGACATTGGAAGGTCCTTCTTTAAAACCAAGGCTACTTGGTCAAGGAATATTTATTATTCATTTCTTTGTTTGTTAAATGAATGAACTTTTCACACAAGTTCTTCCCTCCCACATGGATTTTAAGTATCATTTCTAGGAATCTAATAGTGAAAATGTCTTGGAACCTGTCTTTTGAATGATGGCTAGCTCACACCACACACAAAAAAAAATGTTTTCATCAAGTAAGCTTAACTCTTTTGGTCAAGAAAGCAACTGTGTAAAGCTGATGAAGAGAAATCAAAGTTCCACGGAGACAAAGACAAGTTAGCAGTTCCGAAATTGGGTTGAAGTCAGATTCTTTTTTTTAAAGTAGAACTTAAGTCCTGACTCTCATCAGTCCCGCTAGGAGAGCTGTCCTGCTTCTGAGGAAGTGATGCTTCCTAAGAGCAGTCTCTTGCTATGAGCATGAGGGGACACTGTCACCTGCATTCTTGACAATACGTATATAGCAAACTAACATAGGTTCTGTTAATTCAAGGACACGTGGATGAAACTGATGGTCAGTCATGCCTAGAGCTGCTCAATCTGTAGCTTTAGGTTAGCTCAGGGCTAATAGTGCCTCTTCAAACTGTTGAATAAAAAGGTCATCTGTAACCATCATAAATTCACACTGAAGATAGCGTGTGTGTGAATTTGTCCTTTAACAGCAATCTCTACATCCCCTTTGGCAGAGGTACAGAAAAGGGGTTTACTTAGATTATAGCAGATTTCTGTACAAATCTATTTAACTGTCTGCATAAAGAAATGTGGTATACATTAGACTATTACCCAGTGCTAAAAAGAAGAAAGGAATCCTGTTCTTGTGACATGGATGTTGGAGGACTGTCTGCTAAGTAAATAAACCAGGCACATAAGAAGTACTTCATGATTCTAATGGCCATGAGTCATCTGAAGTGGTCAAATTCAGAAATCCGATGGTTGCCAGGGAGAAGGGAGGCATGAGGAGGTGTTGGCCGGAGGTGTTAAGTTTCAGTTATGAAGATGAATAGGTTCTAGGCATCTGTTGTACAGCGTAGCACCTACAGTTAATAATGCTGTATTGTAGAGCATAGTGCCTATTCTTAACAATATATTTTTCATATAAAATTTTGTTAAGATAGTAGGTCTCACATTAAATATTTTTACCATGAGACTAGGAGATAAAGGAGAGCAGGACTCTGGGAAGGAACGCTTTTCCCTAGTCACCCTACCCAACAAATCACACTTGCCATAGTAAGGAAGGGAAAATAAAAGCCAAGTTAAATGAGAGAAGCTACTAGAAAAAAAGAACAGAAGGCAGGGCTGAGGAGAGGAAGTTTTCTACCACGCTACCATGCTTTGGGTTCCTTTTGCCTAATCAGAAGATAATATTTTTATTTTGAACATCTTTGATTTTTCCCTCTTCCATGAGCTGATTCATTTACTAGCTGCTGGCTTAATTTATATGCAATATTTAGAGTTAATTAGTATCCCAGGGTAACAGATTCCCTTAGTAATGCCTTAGCCTTGACTGCAGCTCATATGTTACCTTAGTGGTATTTTTCCAGAAATTTAAAGTATCAGTATCTCTTACACAGGTCAAAAATGTTGTGTGGAAAATTTTAAAGTGAAGTTTGGGGACATATCAAAAATGATTCTATCTTAGTCAACTCTAAAGCAATTCATTATTTCATTAATTCTGCTCTATTTTATTTTATTTTTTGTGGTACTGGGGATGAAACTCATGACTTCATGCACACTAAGCAAGTGCCCTCATTGTAAAACACACACATATACACACAGACACACAGACACACAGACACACACACACACACACACACACACACACACACACATAGACACACACACACACACACACACACACACACACACACACACACACACACACATTTGAAACCCAAGAGTTAAAATGTTATTGCCATGAGAACAATATGGAATAATAGTCTGAATGTCTAGTGCTTCCCTCTCTGTGTGCCTCTGGATATTTTCTTCCTGTGGAAGTCCAAATGAAACATCATTTAAATTACATCCATAGTGTGTGTGTGTGTGTGTGTGTGGGTGTGTCTGTGTGTGTGTGGGTGTGTCTGTGTGTGTCTGTGTCTGTGTGTCTGTGTGTGTGTGTGTTCAAATCATCTTTGGACATTGTGATTTCTGCGGATATGAATAACCATTATCCCTGCCAACTGCTGAAAAACAGCTTTTGGAAACAAGCTATATTATTTGGCACAAGCTTATAGCTGTGTGGTATTTTGTAGACTTTGCTTTGACCAAAGGTAAATATGAAGAGGAAAGATTACAGTGAAAAGAAATCAACCTCTCCAGTTAGCAGGATGATTTCACTGCGTACAGTCTACCCTTAGGGAGTGGCTGGGATTCCTTGTCCCTGGTATATTGCCTGGAAGTTGTTGACATTTTACAAAGGCCACATATAACCACCACATTGTTTTATTTCTGTTTGTGCCATGCCTTGGACTAGTTTCCCACAATGAGTTTGAGTATGGAAGAAATAGATGGTATTGCCCTTATCACAGATCTGGGTTTGCTGGCTTAATATCAAAATCTTATTGATCTGTTTCTTAAACTGATTTTTCTCTTGAGAAATTTTAAGAATGATTTTATTGATTTCCAGAAAATATTAAACTCAAAATCTTGAGACCTGGAATTCTTTTCTACTCAACAAAACCAATCATTGTGTATAAACATTGTTCAACTAAAGTAATAAATGTCAGTTAAACAAGTAAGAATAAACAAATGTAATAACAAGAAAGAAATAGGAACAGAAAAAAAGATGGAAGAAAATCCCAACACAAGGCACGTGTAACCTGATTGAACGATGTGCTGGAACAAAAAGGTCACAAATGTATTTTTATTTTTACGGTGCTGAGGATCAAACTCGTGACTTCATGTGTTCTTGCCCAGTGTTCCACCACTGAGCTATATATACTCTCCACCCTCATATTTAGCTACTTAGAAAAACAAGGAGAAGAAAACAAATGAGGATGATCATTAACAGGGAAGGGATTGTGTGTGTGTGTGTGTGTGTGTGTGTGTGTGTGTGTGTGTGTGTGTACCCATTTAATTTCCATATTTCTTATCAAAGGAAATTATACTAGGAGGAGTGAATATGGCTATGAAGGAATTGAAGTCCAGGATGAATAGGGGGATGAAAGGTGCCTGGTTTCTTAAATTGAGCTTAAGCTCAGTTAATTGTATTCCTTAATTTACATAGACTTCAAATTACTGAATGTAAGCTTTTAGGGTGGAAAATAGATTTAAAAAAATTATGGTATTAACCTAATGGTTAATATTTGGACATATTTACATATTTCTCAATAGGTCCCATATTTGGACATGTATCACTCCATAGGACACACAACTCCTTTTCTGGGTAGCTATTAAACTGATAAACTGGGATGGACTAAGGGGAGACATCTCATTATGTTATTCTGATAATTACAAATCTTGGCAGTCAATATGGCCAGAAACATCATCTTGTTAAATTTCTCCTGTAAGCTAGTGTTATATAAATGCACCACAAGTATCCCATATGAGTAATAGATGGATCTACTTCTTTACACATCGACTCAGATTTTTGTTAAGCAAATGCACAGTAGGAGAAACAGGAAGGAAGAGAAAAAGAAGGAAGGAGAAGGGGAAAGGGAGGGAGGAAGCAGCATGAGTACAAAGACAATTGTCTACTCTCTCGCTCTAGTTGACTCAAAACTCAGGATGATATTAAGGTGAACTCTGCAATCTTCCTCTGAGTAAAGCAAACATCTTACTGTCCTTCCTCAAGGAGCAGCAGGTGCAGTAGCACACGTGATAGCCACAAATACAATCCAGTATAGAAAAGCAGGTACTTAGCAAGACAGAATGTGAATTCTCACCTGAGATTGTAGTCTACAGCTAAGATGTTCAGGATTGATACTGCTAAGAGGTGTAATGTGTTATGGGATGAGAGTAGAAGACCTGAGAGGGAATAGAAATGGAAGAATAATTTATATTACCTCCATAAGAAAATCAATTTTTACCTTTCTTCACAGTGTTCACAGGTATAGGAATAGAGTGTAGGAAAGTGGCAAGTTAAGCCAGTGAACTCTATTATTTTGTTACCATTAAGTAGGGAAGGTCATCTACTTGGGTGTCAAAGTAAGAAAGTTGGTTTAAGGTCAAGAAACTGAGTTTTTAAGAACTCTGAAGCCAAACACTTTTTTTTTTTTCAAGTAACATAAAAGTAAAAGAAGGAACCAAAACATTGGAAATATTTCTTCAATTTTTTTTGGTGAGAGATAAGACAGAAATAGATCCCTAGAAAGTGGCAAGAAATCTTCCAAGAAGGAATTTTAATACAAAAATGCTGTTTTTCATTTTCTGTTTCCTTATTTAAGAGATAAAGAAACGGGGGAAATACAAAATGACTTTATAATTGAACCAGTTAGATCTCATTTCAAATGTTTCCAAAGCACACAAGAGACCCCAGGTTTGGTCCCCCCAATAAACAAACAACCACGTTAACATTCTGTGTCAAGAGGAGTGGTAACGGGCAGGGGTTTTCTCTTTAGTAAGTGAAGGCACTGGGTAGGATTATTTCTTTCTGAATCAGCATCCCTTCAGATACCTTGTGGAAGCAAGAGTAGTAAGATGTAGTCAGCACATCACCAGAAAGAGTTTATAGATTAATTGGAGGAGGGGTGGTTAAAATAACAATTTCATGCCAAGGTCTGTTGAATCCAGAAAAGGAGTATTCAACCATTCTAAGAAGGTCAGGGAGTGTTTCTAGAGCCAATAATACCAAACCTGGGACCAGAAGATGAGTAAAAGTTAGTGAGGTTTAAAGAAAAGGGATAAAGGGTTGCTTGCTCTAGCTAGGTGGACCAGAGTAGGTGGGAGATCATGGGAAATTCACCATTCAGAGGATGGCTGGAGTAGAAGGGAATACATATGGTGGCAAATATAAGGCTGATCCTAAATGATCTTCTAGGCCATGCCAAGGAATCAAGAGTTTACTATGAGGATAGCTAGAAATTGTGGGAGGATATTATGCTAAAAAGTAATATGGTCAGGTTTGGGATCAATGGCAAGCTTAGAAATCTGAATTTAGGGATACCAGTCAAGGTCAAGGCTGATGATGCAATGCTGGTGAGAGATGACGGTAGTCATGATGAAAGTGAAGATCTGACTATGGAGAGGAAGGTGATTCTGTAGGTGTTCAGAAGCAGCAGTACATGGTAAGACTTAGGGACTGGTTAGATACAAATATGAACGAAGAAACAGACCTTTGAAGCCCTTCAGCTCTCCTGGACTTCAGTGTCCTACTTCTTGCAGAGAATTCCAGCATACTCAAATATGAAAAAAAAATGCATACACTTCTGAAAAAAATGTAGAGAGGCAGCTTCAAGTTGATAAAATGTGTGTGTACATGTATGTACATTCTCTGTGACTTTCAACAGTAGGGGCCCAAAAAATTACTTTAAATTAATAAAGCTTCTATTAAACCCTGGAGAAAATTCTAGGTCTCTCCAGTGATTTGGGTTTAGCCTGAGGTCTGAGTTACTACCAAAACTTTGATTGATTTTCTTAATGTGTGAAGACTAATATAAAAGTCTCTTGTCCTCTTGCACGAAAACCAAGTTTAGTATCTGGTTTTTCAGGGAAACAAATCTCAAAGCTTCTCCCCCTTCAAGGCCTGGCTTGATGAAGACCATGTCAGTGGCCGCTTATACAGCCTAGGGAGTCACATGAGCCATGTTGTTTCTATGTGTCAGAACTGAGTGCCTTCTGGGAACTTTAGACAGTTGTCATGGACAGGAATCAAGCACTTTATTTTCCTCTGAATATGGGACATGAAGCAAGTTCTTCCATGGTTGCCATATCAACACAAAGATGGATTCTGGAGGGCCTCAGTGGTGACAATGCAAAATCAGGGAAACGTAAAAAGCATAGGAAAAAAGATCTGGATCACCCACCGAGTCCTACTCCCAGAGTTAAGTACTGTTGAGAGTTTGGCCTGTATTTTTCTAATCTTTCATTCCTGTGTATTTATGGTATGGCAAATACAGTTTTAATGTGACACAATATTGGGATTATAATTTACATACTATCCTGTTACCTCTCTGTGGCTGCAATTTCCCATGATTGTCTAAAAGGAAAAGAGCTTGGAAAAAATCCTGTGTTTGTATTTGACTTTCATCATGAACAAGATTTATTTGGCATCTGGTGGTCCACAAATGCCTGCTTTGATATCAGTGTATGCAATTGAAAAGTAAAGACTCCAAAACCAGAGCATCCATTGGCAAATGTGATATTCACATGTGCTAGAGGATTAGAGAGCATGTTCCCCTTCTTGATTTGGTCCTCAAAGCAAAGACTGTAAGCTTTTATAATTAGGCAGCAAGACTTAATTACCACAAGGGTAGATAATGTGTGACATTTCAGGAAATACTCAATGAAAATAAACTCGCTGAAGTGACAGAAATTGATTAAAGGCTTGTTTGACTCAACTCTCCTATCTAATTGGTATTTTTTGTCTTATTTATAATAGGGCATGCATTTATTCTACATTTTATTCCACTTGACTAACATTAAGTAAGAAAACATTCCTACCATGTCCATTGCCTCTTTTTTCTTGTCTTTGAGAAAAAGAGGAGTCGTGGCTTTCATACCCCTTCTGGGTTTCACGCATGAGATCTTTTAATACAATCTTTCTCAGGCCTGTGAGTCCTAAAGAATCCTCGTATGTCAGTAGGTACAGACTTTTCCCCCCTTGAGACAAATGTGTTACTTTGTAGTTTAGTCTGACTTTGAAATCCTGATCAATTCTCCTGCCTTAGCATCCTGATTACAGGCTGTACCACCTGAGATTACAGGTATTTACCACCATGCCCAGCTATAAGATGACTAAATAGAATTCATTTTTTAATAAATAATGTTTCTGTTATTTTCTTTTATCTAAAAAAATTTACTTCTTTTTACTTTATGTGTTTGAGTGTTTTGCCTGCATATCTGTATGTGCACCATGAGTGTGCCTAAGGATGGTTTTGGATCTCCTGGAATGAGAGTCAAAGGCACAGTGTGGTGCTGGGAACCAAACCCAGGTTCACTGCAAGAACAGCAAGTGCTCTTAACTGCTGAGCCATCTCTCTAGCACACATGTCATCACCATTTTAACACCATATATTTGATGACAGTGTCTGAAACCCTATGTTGTTGTTGTTTTGATCAAGACTTTTTACGTATCTCCACTAGCCAACTCTCCTCCAGGTTTCTTGTAAAAAGCAGCAGGAACGATCAAAACACAACAAAGTGCCATGACCTTTATTCTGAAAGTATGGTATTTTGGAATGAAAACAGATTCTTATGCAAAATGTGAAATTGGACTAAAATAGGGTGGGGTAAGCATTTAGCAAACTGCTTGACTGAATCTTTCCTGGGATAACTAGGCTCTTGAAAGCACATTTCAGTTCATCATGTTTAAGGTCTGGATTCTGTTAAAAGAAACTGCTCATAGAAAAAGTAGTTTTATTTCTAAGTGATGAGGGTCTTTGAGTTACTTTGGAGAAATATTGAATAACTTAGTTTTACGCTGCATAATTCAAATACAAATTTCAAAAATCTGAATGAAATTCAATTCTTTAAATCTAGCAATAACAAAATCAAATGTCCACTAAGCTCCTTCTGTGGGCCATATACTGTGTTCTTAACATGTAATTAACATGGACAAGCTTACTTAACAGAATTCCAAAACCTGCTATGGTAGATGCTCTAGGTCATCATGGACTTGACTGAAGGCGTATCTCACTGGTGGTAATGATGACCTATCAAGACAAACATCAAGGGAGGCCTAATTTGACTTAGTTCCTTGCTCTTGGAACTATGTGGTATTTTCAGTCACGGTTTGGATGTTGTTTTTAAGATATTTAATTTTTGTTACATCAGCCTAGTGAGCACTGGCTTTGGGCAAGCAGTCCATTCCCAATTGCTCTAAGGAGAGGAATCACAAAGAGTACTGCATATTGAATCATATCCTGACATTACCGAAATAGTCCTCTGCTGCAATAGGTAATGTATAATATGCCCGAGTTATTCAGGGTCTTGTTTATTGTTAGCTTGTTCATTTATTAGAGACGTGGTTGGAAGTGACTTGGTCCCTCATCAGATTTGTCACAAAGTTACAGTTTATAAATGCTTTGGTTCCAAAGTAAACAAAATCAGTGGTATGCTATTTGGGTTATTAGAGGGCCTATCCTCTTATAATGGCCACATTTTAAAAGTTGAGAATGTCCTGTGTTATACATCATTGACTTCTGGATCCACAAGGCTGCCATATATATTTCATCACAGTCAACATAGCTTAATGTTTCTGTTTCTATCCCAGAGGAGAATTATTGTCCAGACCGTAGTTATAGAATGCAGTACTTCACTTTAAGTAATGAAATCTATGTGAGAAAGGATTCCTCACATGCATAAGACTTAGTAAACGTGGTTCCTTTGGGCTCAAGCTTCATTTGCCCTAACAAAGACAAAGTGTATTCCTTCTGGAGACAGTTCTGCTGAGAACAGTAGAAAAACTGGAGAAAATAAATGACGAAGAAATTCTCTTGGTTTTCCTGTGTTTCTTAAAGTGCCTGTGTCTGGAAAAGAGAGAGAGACAGAGACAGAGAAAGGAGAAGAGAGCAAGTAGTTAACAATGTCCTTGTAGTATAAACTAGAACATAACTGGAAGCAAAAGGGAACATCATTAACACCATTAGAATGATTCTGGGTAAACTGGAACCCCCCAAGGTTGTCTGAGAGGGGGTGTCTCTGACAACTTGTACCACCTCAAATCCCCCTTTATTCCAGCTACTGCAGTAGCGAGCCAGTCTGTGCAGCCATCTCCTGTGTGCTCTGCTGTGCGTCACCGTGGAACTTCACTTGACACTCATACGTATGGCGGCCCGACAAAGCAGGGAGCTAGCCTGGCAGCCTTGACCAGTGGAGAAGGAAGCTGCTGTGTAAATACTCCCACCATCTGGATCTCATCAGGCCACCTTTTAGGGAGTTCATGAAAGTCCTCAGAATATCACTCAGGCAATGTCACCTTGACCTTGAGAATTCTTTCTTGTGCTGGCTTTTTCTTCTTCCCCATTTCAATGCTTCCTACGTACAAGACTTGGTTGCATGCAGGCTCTGCTCTCAGGAGAACTGAGGCTATGACAACCAGTGTTGGAATTTCAGAACAAGATCACTGGTTGTGATAATAACGAGTCTCCTGTTAGAGGAAGATGGCGTAGGGATACCTAGCCAGCAGTGTTTCAATTACTAAAGGCTCTTACCCATGTTAGGCTGGGATGGTGTTCAGACAGAAGGCAAGCATTAATTGTGTGCAAACTGTGGTTTATAAACAAAAGACATGGAAATTTGAGAAGAGTTGACTGATGTGTTAAGACTGCTGGAAACTCCCAAAACTGAAAATGATGGTGTTGGGTCAGTCAATTATCTACATTGTAATGTTTTTAAAAGCTAGTGTCTGTGAAGAAGTGTTTCAAAGTGCTCTCTTTCCCAGAGTCATGAGATTCTTATATTCAAGGTCACTAGTCAAGCAAGCAACCTAGATGTGGTGGCCCACAGAGACTTCCTAGTGAGACCTGACTCGAGGTCAGAGAATCTGAGCTTGCTTTACCCAGCATGGCTACATGATGGGATAATTTTGCCACAGGCATGTTCACCAATTGTTTGGAAGGATCTACACTTAGCTGTACAGTGTGCTTTGATCTTGCAAGGGAGAGGTCTTTTGCCTCTCCACTTGGCATATTATAAAAAGCCCTGTTGAGTAAAGTTCTTGGTGGCTGGGTATTGATCCAGGCCCTCCCAAAGCTATCTTGTGTCTCTGTCTTTCTTATCGTCTCTTTCTATCTTTCTACCTAATATTTTCTCATTCCTCTATCCTCCACCCAAGAACCCTTCGTAAGGTGGTAGCAGGTCGGAGCTAGTCTCTGGCAGACTACCACACCTAGAGCAGCCCAGACACTGGTCAGAGGTGGAGAATGCTAGAACAAGGTGGTCAAGGGGAAAGATGAAGTATGCTCTTGTGGCCTTGGGGCTGCAAAAGCAGCAAATGGTACTTGAATGATTCTGGTTAGACATTATGGTTGGCTGCCACCTTGAAGCAGATTCTGGGATAGATCAAACAGAAAGAAGGATACAAAAGAGCTCAAAACGGAATTGTATCTTCATTTTTACGCCAACACCATGGTAACCAAATCTGTGCAAGTGTCCATCATCCCTGCACAGGTGCAACATGGCAGGCTCTAGCCTTGTGCTGTGACTTGCTCCATTCCCAAGTGCTGGAGCATCCCAACGATCTGTGATAATCTCTCCTCTCCTGCTAATGCACATTCTGGCTCCAGGACATCACAACCATGGTGTTTACACCTTTGTTTGGGGTTCCATTTTGGAGGGGATATAAACTAAGACAAGATACAAGGGAAGAAGGGGATGGGGAGAAAGGGGGGAAGGGGGGAGTCAAATCAAGGTAATAAACTATGATGTGCTATTAAACTGCAGGAATATTTTGGGACATCAGAGCCCAATTTAGTGCTATGATATTTCTAATAATGAAGATGACACATTTAGGCCACATGTTCCTTGTTAGAGACTCTTTAGCCAGAGGATAGAGCAATTTTAGAGCTGGAAGGATCCTTGGATCTCATTCTCAGCCTATCTTTTCTTTTAAAGAAAAGGGAGCTGGGCTGTGAATCTATTCTATTCTAATCATTTGATAAAAGAGTTTACTGTGTGTCAAACCATCCAGGACTAACCAGAATAATATTGTGCACTGTCTTGGGGGTAAAATTACATACTTAAGAGTCTTGAAGAAAAAAAAAGACAAGCAAATTAGGTGAAGATATTGTTAAGTGAAGTGAAGGCTGCCCTGTATTCAACAGTACAGGGGTAGGTTGTTTCAAAATTTTTCATTACTGAGAACTAAACCCAGGGCTTTTAAAAAAAGATTTATTTATCTTATGTGTATGCATACTTTGCCTGCATGCATTTCTGTGTACCATGTGAGTGTAATACCTTCAAAGATTAGAAGAGAATGGCAAATCCTCTGGAACTGGAGTTTTAGGACAACAATCATTTGGGTGCTGGGGATCGAACTTCAGTCCTTTGGAAAAACAGCCAGTGCTCATAATCACTGAGCCATCTCTGTGGACCTTTAAAATCAGGTCTTTACACATACAAGTGCTTTACCACGGACCTACAGGCTCAGCCCAGAGGTGGAGATATTTTAGGTTAGAAAAACATACTTTGCAGTAGGTAGATTCCTGTCAAGTCGTGTTAAATTTTTGCTCACAAAAGAAGAGAACTAACACATCCTACCGTGCCAGCTGGGCATTCCCATGTCTGTTTGATAGGTTCAGAAGTGGAAGTTTAGAGAATGTAAGTTCATTTCCAAGATGATTTCTAATCGACGTTGTTTGATTATTCTTCCTGTCCACCTTGTCACTTCTCTTCCGTC